GCGCCCTGGCCTACACGAACCTGATCGCCGGCCGCGTGGTCTGCTCCAGTGCCACACTGCCCAGTGCCCACTAGCACTGCCAGGGCCACCTGCACCGCGCGCGGGCGCTCCACATGGCCTGTACCACACCGCCACCGTGGTCAGGCCAAGCCGGCACGGGCGCCACTGCCGTTTTTCCTCGGTCGTGCAAGGCACGCCGCCCGGACCGCGCCGGCTCGCTGTGCACTCTAGCTAGTGCTCCTTCTCGGTTGGAAGCACGCAAGGCTGCGGCCGCCGTCGCCCATGGAGCGCAGCACGACATGCTCGCCGGCAGCCGCCCGGCCGGTCGTCACTCGAGGCCAGCGTGTGCGGATGGCGGAACCGATATGGCGATATCCATGAACGGAATTATAGGGTGGCACGGGCGCCCGCGGGGCCGATCGACCGGAGATGGTAAAGTTGACGCGGTTGCACCACGCCCAAGCAAGCGAGCAGCCTGTCTGGCGATGCTCTGCTCTGGTCTGGTCTGGCTGTAGCGAGGCCAAGAGCTGGCACGAGCAGAGCGAGACAGGCGAGTGTCATTGGCCTTTTTATGTGGAACCTGCTTCTAAGACAGTCTTGCACCACAAATTAGTCAGGGCCAACGCCAAGATTCTCAGTAGTTTTCTTCTAAGGGCCTGTTTAGATTCAAAACATTTTCCAAACGCCTGCAGCGTGAGAAAGAGATGAAACTTTTAAATCTAATTAGTCCATAATTAGACATTAATTACCAAATACAAATAAAATGCTACAGTGAGCCAAAATCCAAACAATTTTGGATCTAAACGCCCCCTAAACATCCAAACGCCTGCAGCGCCAGGTGCACCCTCGTATACAAAACCAACAAGTCGAAGCGTCAATGCTCGGAGTGGGACAGATGTCCCTAGCCGTGGTACAATCACAACGTATATAATTTTTTAAAGAGTAAAATGCACCCAGGTTCTAAAACTTTTTAGACGTTCTCACCTGGTAGGGCGTTCGGCTTTACTACTTTTCATTTGTTTCAGATTACTCTCTCTCACATAATACTATTTAATTATCCAAAATAATCAAAATTTACTGTTCAACCTACCAGCCGAATGACCATCTAAATCCCTAATCTTCTCCTGTCGCACGCCATGAGTCCAAAACCCACCGCGTGGTGCCAACATCTTTCGTGGCCATGCCACGGTGGCACCTAGATGATGTGCCCATGCCATGGTGGCAGGTGGTGAGCCTGCAACGCGCTGCTGCGGTTCGGGCATAAAACAGGGAGGTCGCCGGCGGCTACTCCGACCGTGGGAGCGGGTCGACGGTGTGGCGTGGGCGGTGAGCTGGCCCAGGCCTAGGTGTACCTGTGGGAGCGGGTCTGTGGCGTGGCCACGCGAGCGTATGGCGGAAGCAGAGGCGGTGGACGGCGGCAACGTGGTGGCGGCGCAATTGATGGACGACAGAGGCCTGCCTGCGCCTGTGCGTGTGAGCGACGGCGGCGCAGAGCATCCGCACGCCCAAGTGGAGGCGGTGGTACGGTAGCAATGGCTGTGCGCGACGAGGCAGCGATGTCCGAGTGCATGATCGCGGCGGCGTGCGCGCGAGGCGTAGCGGCGCTCGCCCACGGCGGCTTGGGCGCGAGGCAGAGCGTTGGCTCTTGTCTGCGGCTACGTACACGCGGCTTGCCACCTCGCCCCGCACGGGCAAGAATGAGGAGTAGCGCTGCGCTGCTTTGCTCTTCCTCTCTGCCCTGTTCCAGAGCCCCGCCATTGACGCCGACGAGCTCCGCCCGCCAAATTCGCCACCGTCGTCTCGCCATTGTCCAGTTCCCCTCCACTCCAGCTGCGCCAAAGGCCTTCTCCACCCTCTCCACCAGATTGCGCCGCTGCTCATCCAAGGTAGAGGCCCCTCGGGCCAAATCTTGGCGCGACAGCCACCATGGCCGCCGGATGCGTGCTCACACGTGGTCGTCCTCCCTCGATCTCGCTTTGCCCTGCCTCTCTCTCTCGATTCGGGGTCACCCTAGGCAGTAGAAAGCATCCGCGGTTGGACGTTAGGGCAGCACTGCCGCGACGATGCTGGAACGCGGCATGCCGCCGCCATGACCTCACTGCGCCACGCTACCGTGCACGCGGACGCGCCTCGTTGTTGCTCCGCCGTAGCCGTGTTGCGCGAGTGCTCTCGTCGCCAGCAATGACGAATGACGCCGCCATGGAGTACCATACATGCACCATGTGCGCGTGCAGCAGCCAAGTCCGGCACCTGGTTGCACCATGCACGCGTACAACAGCCATACACCTACCTCCGGTCCTCCACACACACGTACGACCTTTGTCGTCGCCTTGCATCTTCTGCTCCACGATCGCCGATGGGTACATCTCCAATCGCAGCGTCGTGCGTCCTCCATCACGAGCTTCTGGTTCGGCGCCGGCGTCCTCCTCCGGCTCCGTGCGCCAGCAGCTCCACGGCGCGCCGTCCCCGCCGCACCGCGAAGTTGTTTCCGTCAATGTACTTGATGGCCTTGAGGTAAGCAACAAAGGCCCGCCGTGCCGGAGCACTACGTGTACAACATCCCACGACCGGAGTAGGCACCGGCGACCTCCCCTGTTCCGTGCCCGAACCCGACAGCATGCTGCATGCCCAGCACCTGCCACTGTGCGCGTGGCCACAACATCTAGTAGGTGCCTATGTGGCATGGCATGTCTGATGCTGGTGCTGGTGTGTCGTGTTTTGGATCCTTAAGTGTGCGACTGCAGTAGATTAGGGGCATAGATGGTCGTTTTTTAGTTCGAGGACCTAAATTGGAATGCTCTAAAAGTTTGAGGACTCTGGATGTATTTTACTCTTTTTTAAAATCAAGATCTAGACGCAAAATAATACGGACATGTTTGGTTCGTGCTTTGGTTTTTCATGTGTAACCTTAGGTAAACTATGGCTGTCACAACAAGTGTGGTAGGTAAAATCGAAGTTACACTTGCAGCAAAGTTTAGCCAAAAAATAAGTATATGATACATTGGTCAGAGTGTAAAATCGAAGCTACACTTGCAGCAAAGTTTAGCCAGAAAATAAGTCTACGATACATTGGTCAGAGTGTTAATAAAATGTGTTACGCCGTAGTTGTGCCAATGAATCAAACAGTTGCTTAAAAATTATGACACGGCTAACCTGTGACATGACAAGCTTTTGTCATAAACCAAACGAACTCATACATACATGTACACTCATATATCCATAAACACACGTTCCCATCCTACTCCAATGATTCTATGAACCCCTGTGAAAGTTTAAGCTAGCAGATATCAAGATTAACGAAGTTCCTACTGGTACCCGTTAGTACGTCACCTATAATTGAAAAAAAGATACTACTAAATCTTATAATAAATCTAAAAGAATATGAGCACCAACGTCTTGACGTGGGTTGGTTATACAAGGAACCCAACGAACTATTGGTCTGTAAAAAACACAGCATATACGGCAGGGAGGCACATGACATTCTGATTTGAGGACAGCGACGTGGAATAAATAAACAGAAATGTTATACAACATGTAAATAAAATCATGAAATTTATATGCTGATTTGAGATACTTGATACTGTTTTCATTTAGCTGAAAGGAAATGGATCTAAGCTTCTTGTGGAAAAAAAACCTTGATACACTGGCTCTGGTCGTTTCTCTTATAATTTATACTTTTTAGCTTATTTTTTTTTAGTCGAAATAGTATTTTTCTCTCATAACAAATCAGTCAAAATAGTATTTCGACTTGTTTTTTCGACGAAGCAAACAGGCCCACCGTCTCTGCGTAATGGGAGGCTTCCAAAGTACGAACGGGTGACTTTGTGCATGGTCCCCCAACATTCCCGCACGACAAATCCGTATACCTGATATACTATCTATTTTTAGATGTAAACTAACTATTTCAAAAATCATAAACACCACATCCTACACGTTACGTTTTAGGCTGTTATATTTCTGCACGTAGAATTAGTCACCTACGATTCCAATTTTCAGACACTCTATCCTACTTTAGGCCACACATAAGTACAGACTAGAGCACTGCAGGGGCTAATATTGTTTTCCCTACCTAAAGGTTTGACTCAATTAAACTTTACCAAAAGTCCATTTCTTTCGTGCATGGATCTTTAATAATAATATATACTCCATGCCGTAGGTCGTACCTAATGCTAGTTAGATTACCCATTAGGGTTCATCATTGCAAGCTACTATTAAGGAGCATTATTTTCGAGTTATTCACTACCAGTGTCAATATGCATAATTGATGTAGATAATATATTATAGGATATTTTTATACTCTAGGATTCTAATTGTACTAGGTGGCATAATTGGTGTGGCTATCAGCCTGTTTTCGGGCTGAAACGATCATATACGATCATGGATTATTACTGCTGACTGTTTTGGTGTGAGAGAAAAATATTGTTCTGGCTGAAAATTTACGATCGTAAAGTTTACGATCAAGCGAACATGCCATATATATCACTGAATCTCTTTATACTCAGGAATTTATAGATTGCATATTTCATAGTCTCCTATAATACTAGTATGATTACTTGTGTTACCTTAAACCGCTGATGATACTAGTTGCTCGGGTAACCCCAGCAATTACGCATCCTCCCAACCAGGTTGTTGCGGAAAAAGATCCTCCGCAAAGCAGAGCGCGGATTAATGGAAAGAAGAAATGGAAAAGGCGGAAAAGTATGGAAGGATGGGCCCACCGCACCATCTGTCCCCACACGCCTCCCGACGCAGCCACGCAGGAGAGGAGAGAGAGCCAGAGAAACCCAACCCAAACCCAGTCAAGATCAAGAGACCCCTCCTCCGAAACCGCCAGAATCCCAGCGACGGCCGCTCGCTAATCCTTTCCTATCCCCCAAACCCACCCGCCCGCCAGCCGCTAATCGCAGCGCAGGCATTCCCCACCTTCTCCCCCACCCCCGCGCGTCCTTTTTCCAATCTCGAATCCTCCCACCCCCAACCCTAGCGCCCGCGCCGCCGCCATGGCCGAATCCGGCGACTCGTCCCCCAACTCCGCCGCGGCAACGGAGGACGCGCACCACGAGGCGTCCGAGGCGGCGGTGCATGCGCAGCCGGCGCCGCAGACGCGCCCGCCGCCGCCACCGTCCAAGGTGCGGCTGATGGTCAGCTACGGGGGCCGCATCCAGCCGCGCCCGCACGACAACCAGCTCGCGTACGTCAACGGCGAGACCAAGATCCTGTCGCTGGAGAGGCCGCTCGTCTTCACCGACTTCGCCGCGCGCCTCGCTGCGCTGGCCGGGAACGCCGGGGACGTCTGCGTCAAGTACCAGCTGCCCGGGGAGGACCTGGACGCGCTCGTCTCCGTCACCAACGACGAGGATCTGGAGCACCTCGTCCTCGAGTACGACCGCCTCCACATCCAACGCCCCGCAACGGCATCCTCCGCAGGCTCCGGCTCCGGCTCCAGCCGCGGCGGATCCACGCTCAGGCTCAGGGTCTTCCTCTTCCCCGTCCAGTCGCCCCAGCCACCTCCGCCGCCGCCGCAGCCGGCTGGGCTCCTCGAGCCCAAGGCGGAGCAGCCCCACTGGTTCGTCGAGGCGCTCAACACCGTCCCGCTGCCGCCCTCCAAGCAGGACCCGCCGCCCGTGACCCCGCAGCAGTCGTCCCCGCCGCAGCAGCAGAAGCAGGAGTCGGTGTTCGCGCAGCAGTCGTCGCCGCCGCCGCCGCTGGCCAAGCACGAGGCGGTGTTCGTCCAGCAGGCTCCGCCTCAGCCGCACACGGTGGTGCAGATGCCGCCGCCGCAGCAGCAGCAGCAGCAGGCGCACGTGGTACTCGCGGCGGCGAGCCCCGACTACCTGTTCGGCCTCGACAACGGCTTGGTGCCTCCCCCGGCGGTGAAGGTCAAGGACCCGTCGGGCGACCCCTCGACGGTCAGGGAGAACGTGCCCGTGGAGATACCTGCCAAAAACGACGACCGCCATCCCAACCCCAACGCGGGCGACCACGTGGCTGTCTCCCCTGTCGTCTCTCCTGCAAAGTACCAGCGCCAGATCCAGGAGCTCGAGAAGCTGCAGGTCGCCGACAACGCCACCCACCAACCACCACCTCCTGCAGCGGCGCCTGCTCCGGCACCTTCCCTCGCCGCCGCCCCCGTCCCCGTCCCCGTCCCCGTCCCCGTCCCCGCCGCCCTCCCGAGGAACGGCAGCGACGACTCCCTGACCCGCGCCTACCCTCCCGCGACCGCGACCCCAACCCCTACCGCCAACGCGGAGTACTACCTTCCAAAGTTCTCGGAGAAGCCCCCCGTGCCGCCGCCGTCATCCGCTCCGCCCGCGACGGCCTACCTGCAGGTGCAGGGCAGGTACGCATCCGTCGCTCCTGGCTCCGGCGCGGACCATGGCCCCGTGTTCTTCATCCCGGCGCCCCACGGCTACTTCGCCGCCACGGCCTCCCCAGGTGCGACCTCCTACCCCGCCGTGTACGCCGTCGCGCCACCCAGTGCCACCCCCACCGCCAACAGCTCCGCCCCCTCACCCGCCGTGTCGAATGCCACGTCCTACGCCCCCGCCCCCACACAGGTCGCGTACGACAGCAATGGCCGCGCCATCTACTACACCAGCATGCTCCCCCAGTACCCTTCGGCTGTCAATGGCATGTCGGCGTCGGGCGCCGTGTTCGGGACAGAGCCCGCGAAGCCGGTGGCCGTGAAGCCGACTGTCTCGTGATCACACCAGCTTACACCCCACCTCACAGCACAGCACCTCATCGCCAATGGATCAAAGGAGTTTTCCAGTTTTTCTTTCATCCTCATCCGCCCACTCGTCAATATGCGCTCGTTAATACCGTGTCAGTTGGATTCGTTATTGTCGCTAGTATTCACCTATATATTTTCCCTTTTAATTGTCTAGAGTTTTTTTTTTTTGGTTTGGCGTTCTGGGTTCATGATATGATGATTATGCAAGTATTACTAGTTCTTTGGTGTGCTTAGATGTACATACAGTCTGTGGACATAATGGATAAGTATTATATATATTAGCCTACTATTGGAGAGTTGAGTCGAGTTGGAGTTTTTTTAACATTCTTGAGTGTGTCGCTTCTACAAGTAGCATTTGTTAATTCTTTGTATTGCTGTATCGATTAATTCCAGAAATTCAATGGCCATGTGATGTGTCGGTACTCTTGCACTGCACTCTTTGATGAGCGTGTTTATGCTACTTCTTTGTCAATTGCTGCTCCCTTGTGGGCAACTACAGTGGTTCTGCGCTGATCACGGGAGATCAGCGTGCTGCATTTATGTATGTATGTGTATGAGCTGAGAGGAGTGTTGGTTGCACAATTAATGGTGTAAAAGTTCTGTCATTGGGGCGATACGGTTAGTCATTGTGGCGATATGGTGGTTGTCCGTGATGCCTGTTAAATGTTGTTTGGCGTGGATGGTGTGATGCAGCCGGTATCCGGTATCTTGATTTGTAAGTGATGCTGGTAATCGTTCTTCCAAGTGCATTTTGATGCGTTTTGGTATGGAAACAGGGCATGTTTTCATGAGTTAGATTCAGTCATCTAGGCCTCGTTGAGATTGGGCAAATGTTTTGCCGCGCTGATAAAGTGACGTTTCTGTTTGTATTTGACAAACTTTGTCTCGATGCGTGGACTAACCTGCCCAAAAGATCCGACACGTGATTTTTGCAACCAAACTATGTTGAAAAGTTATTTTTTTTACTTACATTTTTTTACTTACATTTAATGCTCTATGTATGCGTTTAAAAATTGATGTGATGGAGAGAAAGTGAAAAAATTTGAAATTTAGAGGTAATCTAAACAAGGCCCTAGTTATAAATTAGTCTGCATCAAATTTGTTAGCCATGTCTATGTCTGATGCTGGGCGGGGCTGTGATGCCGCGCGGGGATAAAGTGAGCTCTGCATGGAGCACCATAAATGCGTGGCAACTACCTGCCCATGAACTTGACACTGACCTTTTGCACATGATCGTTGAAAACGAAGGCCATCTCCATTCTCCAGAGTCCAGTCCCCTCTTCCTCCGCATGTAACGATAGCTGACGGCCGACAGCGTCTTGTTCCCGCCCATTGTCACCTCCGTCGCATTCCCGCCGCGCTTGCTTGCTTTGTGCTTTGACAACCTAGAACTGTGCGTGCTTCCCCCACCAAAGACGACGCTGCGTGCGTAGAAAAATGCCTGGGATGCCCTTGCATCGCAAAGAGGATCTTTCGTCCTTTCGACGCCCATCGAGGTATCATGCTCACTCTACCCATGCCCCTTTTGGGCAAAGATGTTTAGCTTCTGCTGGTGCTGCGGCATGGCTTTTGACCAAAGCAAGCCCTGCGACGTGTTTGCTCGCCCAGTCAGTCGCCCTTTCCCTTCCGCATAGAAATGCCTTGTCGTGTCATCCATTGCCGCTTTCTCCACCTGTTGATTATGGATCCCTGGCCCAGGCCGGGGTCGTGAGATAGAGATGTTCTTGGCCTCGGCTCGGCTCGGCAGTCAGCACTCGAGCCCCAGCCCTAGCAGCAGCCAGGCAGAACTTTGGTCGGAAATTCGGAATCCTCACCATGTGATGTGCAGGTGCAGACGTGCAGGCCTGCTTGCCTTGTGCAGTTGTGGTAGTGGGTGCAGCGGCAGCCGCTAGCTGCACTGGAGCCGGGAGACGAGCCACGAGCACGACCTGGTAGAGCAGCAGCGAAGCGACAGCGAGCGCTTCAGCTTCAGCAGTGGCATCTGTACCTGCATGCGCCCGGCAAGGAAGGCAGCAGCCATGGCACCGCACATGGAGGTGGGCATGGCTCCCCATCCCCGTCCGTCACGGTCACGCTGATCGGCCTGCCTGCAGCTGCAGGAGTAGGAGCATGACCGCTGGTGCTGTAGAGGTGCCGCTTTCGAGCTCGTTCCGGTTGCCACGGGAGCTTTGAATGCACACACATAGGAGGACTCCTACACACTCGTTTGGTTGGGTGGCTGGTCGCCGCAGGTCACCCAGCGAGCATTAATCCCGTCTGGTGAACGGCGAGAGCTGCTGCTCAAGTGCTTGATGTGAGTGAGAGCGAGACGGCAGAGCCAGAGCCGGTGGTTACTGCACCTGCCCATCGAGATCGATGGCGGCACTCATGGGCCGGCGCCATCAAAAGGCTCCGCCGCACTTGGGAAAAGGCCGAGTCCGGCCCTGCATATCTGTATGTGCTGCATGCGCTTCACTGAACCTTACCTCGCCGGCGCCGGCGTCGCGCCGCCCCATCAGAAGAAAGCGACGGTCTCTGGTGCTGTACGTGTTGCTCTGCCACGCCCTCGCGCATTCCAGATTTGCTGTCCCTGCTCTGCTGCGGCGCTGCCTGCCCGGTGCCCTCCCATCGCCCGCTCCGCATGATTGCTGTTCCGCGAGCTGTCACTGATCATGATTCGCCTCGCCTCTCGCTCTCGATCGGCAGTGCGTGCATGCATGCACTGGTGTCTGAAAGCGCAAGCATGTCTAGCCTGGACCAAAGTTTCAAAATGTGTGGCCTGGACCCTGGAGTAGATGATTCCGATCATCTTTTTGATGCAGAAGCAGCAGTCTGTCTGCGATTATACTACCCGGTGGTCGTACGTTACATCCTTGATGATGATGATGATGATTGAAAACCTGTTAGGGTTGAAGAGGTGTCTGCATGTCTATGAAGGATCGAGGATGGTAAAGCCTAAAGGCAGAGTGATGACTTCAGAAAAGAAAGAAAGACAGCCAGCATGGACCAGTTGGGAATGTACGTACTCCTATGTTATTTGCTTCTTTCCCGTGCGCTGAGCTTATTATAGCGCCGACACTATGCAGCTCTCTCCGTTGCAGTTGCACGCCAATGAGAACTGGGGTCGTCACGTTGCCCCGAAGATGACTTTGTCCAGGGTTGTATTGGAAAATTAGGCATTTGGAGGGTTTATATATTCTGAATCATGCATCAAAGGCAACCATAGCAGATTAATGGAATGGATAGAGTAAACCATAGCAGAGTGGTAAGAAAATCGTATCCTCGAGCGGGACCGATGCCGACGGTACCAGCAGTGTTGGTGCTCAGATCTTATCGAGCCTCGCTGACCTAGTTGAACTCAACTGATATGCAGTGCGGCCACAATCCGTATAACGATGACCACCAAATGTCTGCAGATGACGCTGTCGTCAATGTTGTGGACGACGACGTTGGCGAGGACTAGTTAAAACAGTACACCACACTGCTTTATCTTGGCCTGAAGGTAAACTGTGGTGATGTGCAAAGCGCGTCCTGAAGGATCGCTCCTCTGCCGGCTCTCCCAATTACTGGACACCATAGAGAGACGAGGGGAAAAAAGTAATGAGAGAGTAGGAGAAAATCGACCTAATTGACTATCTTAGGGATTCCCAAATCTAGTCTAGGGGCTCCTTATATAGATGTACCTTTACCAAGAAGGGTTCGTGGCTTGGTAAATATGATGAATAGGGAGAAGAATCTCCTTTCTCTACACTATTATAATGCCCGTGCTAACGCTACAGCAGAACATAGTCAAACAAATCAAGAAACTAAAAGGCTAAATCCACCATTGCCCTCAAGCTCAAAATACAACTACTGAAAAGAGTCAATAGACTTGTTTGCTGCAATTACACAATATATCAAGTACTTGCTTCATTTAAACGTTGTACGCTGCGACAATATCAACAACTGAAGAGAATCAACAAATCATTTATCGACCCGTGCCGGCCTCTGAGCCAGGGACCGCGCCGGCCGGTCGAGCGAGCTAATCCATTGATTCTATAAAGAAATTTTCATATGCAATATTGTGAAAATATTGTGAGAAGCAATAAATCCACCATACCATAGGTTGTATCAGAAATACTTGTAATGAAAAGAAGATGACAAAGTATAAAATCACTGCGTACCATGTATATGTAACTCACGCTAGGTCCTGCTCCACGTTTCTCTTGCATGCATCTAGAAGAGTGGTTCTTGCCTTCTCACTTGATGGCCATTTGTATCCCATAGGTGCTCTGTTTATGGCTGCTACCATTTCAGACCACTGGGGACTTCTCAACACGCTGAATGGAATTCCAATAGCACACACACATGTTCAGTCAGTCGGTGAAAAACCCTTAAGAGAAAAAAAATTCAAAATATTCAAGCAAGAATATCTAAAGATATTGAAGTCTATATGCCACTGATCCACCTATTTTGCCATAGCAATTGCGTGGACCTCTGGATAAGCTTTTGCACATTTGCAGTTTCTCACAATAATTGCAAGTATATATTGATTTAGCTATCATAATCAACATTTTTGAGGCTATCAATAATTGCAAGTATATTGTGCTGAAAAAGGAACAGCGATATCCATTGCTCAAACAACTGTGATCCTTTGCAAAGGCACACATGAAAATCTTGGCCAACGCTTGGAACTCAACTTGTGTTCCTTCCATGTTGAGAAATTCCAACTAAAGGATCATTAGCTTTGCCCTGCAATCGTGATATAATCAATCATATATCCTCCAGAATTATGGTAAAATTAAAGATGCATAATCAGCAGCAAAGGACAAAAGTGAGCTCTGAACATTTAAATGATTATATCACCATTTTTTTAATAGCCAAAATCTGACAGCCATTGTATTATATCATTGCTCATATGCTGAATCATGCCATCAACAGTTCAACACAAATTTTTTTATGAGTTCTTTCAAAAATGCACTTGATACAGTATCTGCCCATCCTAGTTCATATGGCGTTGCCCAGGCACTGTAATGATGCAACATTTTTAATCTTCAGTGCTTTTTTTTTTCGTTCTGCAAAATTCAGCAACCAAGGTTGTTTAATAAATTAGAACAAGGCATGGCCGAGCGGAAGACTTCAGTGACGCAAGATAAAATTTACATGTTAAGCATGAGAGGTGTTTCAACTAGCAATGGTGTAAAACTTTAGTATATTTTAGTATGTTCTAATGAATCAAAGACCAAAGTTTTGCATTAGAGAAAGAAACGTCCTCTTAAGAGAACTAAACCTTGCAGTCATTTGATCGAGCATATGGTGGGTGTCATCCATGGCACCGTCGCTCGCAGCTGCAGGGGCATTAGGTGGCGTGCTCTATGGTGCGGGAGGGAGCACAGGGGCACGGGGAAGCTGCGCAGCGTCAGCACACGCTCTTACCTTCTTCCCCACGGCAGTGACGGCGTGGCGTCCTTGTCTGCATCAAGGAGAAGCGAAGGAAGGCAGCGCAGGTCTGGTATTTGGAGGAGACGATTCTGCAAGTTAGTGCTAAGTAGTGTGGGCATCCACGATGCATCAGTTGGCTACTGCACGCGCGGCGCATGAGTTCCAGGTACACCTGCAGGTTCCGATCAAATGCCACAACCACCAACCCCCTGCACCAACGTTCACAACCAAGCTAATTCATAGTCAAATCTGTGCAAAACCAGGCACCAGGAGGCGACGAGACTGACAAAACCTGGCATACACCTTCCCTGCGGTGACCTGGGAGCTGAATGCAGCCGCGATGTGGAGCATCACGCCCACGGCGCTTGCCCTTGTGGCCGTCGTCCACTCGTCCTGGCGGCCGCAACCTGGTGGCGCCCGCACTTGTGGCCGTCATCCTGGCGGCCGCGACCTGGTGGCGCCCTTGGGGGAGAGGACGGCCGCGACCTGGTGGCGTCCTCAGGGGAGAGGATGACCGCGACCCGACGTGGCGGTCGGCGGCCTGGCGGCGTGGGGAACACCATAGTTAGGGCTGCTTTCCTCATCGAGACGCGGGAGAGGGAGGGGCGTGCGGGATGCGGGGAGGAGCGAGGGCGCGGCGTCGGCGTGCGGGGTGTGGATGCGTGGGAAGCCCGGCATCCCACGTCGAATCTTCGTCATCGGATTTGATTTATGTGTTTTATTAGCTTTTGATTTTAATATAGATAAATTTTTATGTATATTTTTTTAGGTGTATAATGGTTGGAAGTTCTTAGCGAGAAAACGTTTTTCGGAGGACTAATATAATTTTGATTGGTCTATTATAGTAGAGATGAACTAATAATGTGGCACTTATTTAGGCTGTGTTCGCTGGACTGAAGAAACCAGCCAGCTGGTTGGTTTTCCCTCACACGGCACTATTCATCTATCCAGCCAAACAGTGTTTCTCTCTCACACAACCAGTTAGTTTCAGCTAAGATTCTGTCAGCCGAACGGGGCCTTATATCACACCTTTAATTGCACTTGTGGTTTTAAACATTAAAGCTTATTAGGGAGCATATGTACACAATGGGCCTTTGAGATTTATTATTAGAAATTCTGTATATTGGTTGGGGACTAGCCCATAAATAAATTCTAACACAAAAGGCTCATTCAGGACTGTTTTGCATCGTGGCCTCATGCAAATGTTGTTCAGAAGGCAGAGCAATCCCAGACGTCGGATTTTAAATGCTTATTAGGACCATATGGTTGCCTGGCTGGTTCCTTGTTTGGAAGACTTGCAACCAAATACGTCCTAATGACTTTATCGGTCTTGAGATGTGCTAGCCCAGGTTCAAAAGAGAGAGAGACGTGCTAGCCCGATGTGTTAAGAGGTTTTTCTTGGATATATAGAGAGAGAGGATGCACGGGCGCACGTCTGGGGTGGATAACTGACTGCGTGATATGATATTGGGCCTTTACGGGTCTATTTCATTGGTAGGAAAGGGAAAGCGGCCAAGGCGCAGTGCCGAGCCCGTAGCATGTAGCCCAGCGAGGACCAGGCCTGTCATTTGCTTCTCGGCGGGCCGTGGAGAAACTGGGCCGGGAAGCGAGTGTCGGCACGTCGCACGCAGCTTTACCCCGCCTTCACAGGTCCCGAGTCCCGACGCCGACCTGAGCGCCCACAAGAATGGCATCGGGCACGGGCCGGTTGCGCAGCCCATCGGTGGGCGGGGCCAGGGACCGCATCCATGTCCGCCCGCGAGAGGTCCACCGAGGAGAAGAGAAGCACGAGTTGCTTGCTTGCTTCTCTCGCGCTGTCGTCAGGTCAGCCGTCAGCCGTAGGCGTAGGCCGCGTAGCCGTCCACGATTCTCTTAAACATGGGGTGGGCCTCGAATTCTGTCAACTGCACCCGTTGATCCTGCCCTGCCCTTCCATTCTGTCTAAAAAAAAAATACAACTAGCTACACGTGTCAGCCCTGGCGAGTCATGCCACTTCCGGACACATGCTCTGCTCGCACCTTGCACAGTTGCACCACCGTTTCGGCGGCAGGGCTAGGGAGACAAGAGCAAAATATTGTCAAGGTTTTCGACTGCACTGTAGGAACAAGACAGCATGACCGTGCCAAAGTTGGCCTTGGTGATTGATGATTCTCAGCAGTCCACACCCCAGTGGCCCCACACTCCAGCGTCCAGAGCAGGGAATCTCCCTCCGCAACCGCATCTGCGCGCGCTCACCGCGCGGCTGGCGGCTCCCACGCCCCTGAATTCTCCGAAACCGAAACCCGCCTCTCGCCCCGCCGCTGAATTCCCGGTGCTCCGCGCGAAGTTGGTCGCAGTTGCGCCTTCCCCAACCACGACCTCTTTCTCTTTGGCTCACCGCCTCGCGGTATAAATACGGGCTGCCACCATACCATACGTGCCAGGATCACCACACAAGACAACATCTGTCGACGGGTAGCAGAGAGTGAGAGAGATCGAGGCACAAACACACACTGAGCAGCTTGAGCATCGGAACTTGTTGGGCAGGATCACCATGTCGTCCAAGTCCAACTGCGGTGAGGAGAAGGAGCTGGTGTGCGTGACCGGCGCCGGCGGCTACATCGGCTCGTGGGTGGTGAAGGAGCTGCTCCAGCGCGGCTACCGTGTCAGGGGAACTGCGAGGGACCCTGGTGAGTGACTGACTCACATCACACCATCTCCTGCACTGCAATGCCCTTCTGCAAGCTCAGAGAACTTGCTGTCCTACTCACCTCTGCTTTGCGGGCACTTGCTGAGTGACATGCAGCGGACAGCAAGAACGCGCACCTGCTGGCTCTGGAGGGCGCCAAGGAGCGCCTCACCCTGTGCCGCGCCGACGTCCTCGACCGCGACTCCCTCCACGCCGCCTTCGCCGGCTGCGACGGCGTCTTCCACGTCGCCTCCCCGGTCTCCAACGACCCGGTCAGTCGTCGCTGCTACCTCTTTCATTTTCAGACTGAACAACAATGCGCCATGTACTCGGCTGCTGACGCTGCTTGCGTGCGTCCCGCCTGCAGGAGCTCGTGCCGGTGGCGGTGGAGGGCACCAGGAACGTCATCAACGTCGCGGCGGACGAGGGTGCGCGCCGCGTCGTCTTCACCTCCTCCTACGGAGCCGTCCACATGGACCCCAACCGGAGCCCCGACACCGTCCTCGACGAGACCTGCTGGAGCGACTACGACTTCTGCAAGCGAACGGAGAACCTGTATTGCTGCGCCAAGATGATGGCGGAGATCACAGCGACGGAGGAGGCGGCGGCGCGGGGGCTGCAGCTGGCCGTTGTGCTGCCGTGCGTGACCATGGGCCCCATGCTGCAGCAGACGCTCAACTTCAGCACCAACCACGTCGCGCGCTACCTCATGGGCACCAAGCGCTCCTTCCCCAACGCCGTCGCCGCCTACGTCGACGTCCGCGACGTCGCGCGCGCGCACGTCCTCGCCTACGAGCACCCCAGCGCGTACGGACGGTACCTCTGCATCAGCACCGTGCTGCACCGCGCACAGCTCGTCGCCATGCTGAGGGACCTCTTCCCGCAGTACCCCGTCACGGCCAAGTAAGCACAGAGCGCCCCTCCTCCTCGTCTTCCTCTGTTGTCGTCATCGCCGCCGCCGAGCGATGAGCTCTGACAATCTCGCGCGCTCGTCTTTGATGTGATGCAGGTGCGAGGACGATGGCAAGCCATTGGCGAAGCCGTTCAAGTTCTCCAACCAGAGGCTCAGGGATCTGGGCTTGGAGTTCACTCCGCTGAGGAAGAGCTTGTACGAGACCGTGGTGTGCCTGCAGCAGAAGGGACACCTGCCTGTCATCCAACAGCAGCAGCGCGCGAACTTGTAAACCAGAGGACATGCCGGGATTTCACAGATAAAAATGAACGTGGCAAACAACACACAGAAAGAGAAGCACAAGAAGATGATATGAGGAATTTGTAAACTTCGTATATTCATCCTTTTTTTTTCTTTTCTATACAAGTGCATTTTGTTGTTCAAAAAAAAATCTACAGTTGTATGGTCCATTCTTATTCTGTATCATGGCACATGTAAAGTCGTTAATGTGACGAATTGTATAAGTATTATATAAGTTAATTGCATCTCAATAAAGCTTTCTCTTTTAATTTCCCAATACATATTTATCTTTTTCAAAATACATTTCTATTTCCATCTCTCTTGTCTCTTATTTTTTATGCACTACACCTTTTCACTCCTTCAAAATTTCCGTGCTCGGACCTAAGAGGATGTTTGGATCACCTAGAAAAAAAAACTTTAGTTCGGATTTTAGATGCCAGATACAAAGACTAAGTATGAACTAATCATAGTCTAAAAACAATTAAGAACTAACAGAGGCTAATTGATGTCTAGAACTCATTAGAATTTTTTTAGTTAGTCCTTGTTTTTATCCCATGATGGACTTTAGTCCGTTGACCCAAACATGCCCTAAGTATGATAAAGTATTTTAAAACGAAGAAAGTATAAAAAAATAAGTATTTAATAAATAGTTAAAATTATTAGAAAACATAAAAATGAATTGGCTCGAAATCTTAGTGAGAGGCATCTTTTCCTATATTCACCGTTGACTACTAAGGCAACATGATTGTATTTTTTAAATAAAATAGAAAATAAATTGAAACTGGTATTAGAGCGTATAACTATAAACACACTACAATAATATCGTCCATTCATCGGGATGGAATTACTCATGACTGACCAAAGTACAACATTATATTCCACATTCTTTACCTAAGAAAAAAGTCTCATGTGGACTTAAAATTTCTCATATATCTTATAATCACAGTATTGTTTTCTTGAGCACACATTTCATTAAGACATCTCATGCACCCATTTATCTTTGTTCTATTATAAAAAATCACATGTTTATCTTTGTTGACGTAGAAGATGTTACTCCCTCCATTCTCTTTTGTAAGGCACAATTTGACATAACACGGTCTTCTAAATTATACTTTGACCATATATTTATTTTATTGTATATTATTTATACTTATAAACTCATGATGGATAGTAGATTTAATGACAAATCTAACCATATCAAGTTTGTGTCATAATAATTAAAAATTATTAGTCAAATTATTGGTTAAAATTTTAAAGTTTGAATCTTGATATATGTGTCTGCCTTATAAAAGAGAATTGAGGTAGTACACAATAACATACGTTAGCGCAGATACGTCAACACATGCCATGTTTAAAAAAAGAGAGAGATTCGTGTTGGAATCTCATTGTTTTTTTGAATGGTGAAATCTGCTAGTTATTGTGTGCATTTTTAGATACTAGATGAATCCCCCGCGCGTTCTCGCGGAATTTAGAGCTGAAATTGCAACGCGATGGATCAACCTGTTTTGGCATTTCATGAATGCAGCATGTTTTCAGAAGAAATTAGAACTCCAATGGGGATCACAAGCAATAGGGAAAAAGTCCAAATGCAGTGGTGCGTGGGAGGGGCCGGCGATGAGGCTAAACAGAACTACAGGAGATTGGAAGGAAAAAGTGATTTGCTTTTTGCTGCTACATACAGTATATGAGAGTGAGAGCATCTCCAAGAGTAAAAAAAAAGTACTCCTAAAAAACTGATTTTTCAACCTTTGCAAAACATATTGGGAGAAAAAAGAGTTGCAACTCCAATAGCTCCCCAAAATTTGGATTCCAAAACTTCATCTTGTCCTAATCTCCTCTCATGGTCGCGGCGAGCAAAAGCTGCATCCCCGTGAGCGGGGCAGCGGCTTGCCACCGCCGGCCACCGGAAGGAGACAGCGCTACTGACTGGCGCGCTCCTGACCTTGCTCCTCTGCCTGAGCTCACTCACGTTCGCGACGCTGCTAGAGGCGACGGACGACACGGATGAGCACCCGCTGCCGCCCGCAAGCGAAGCGGCCGTACCAACCGGGGCTCCTACCGGATGACCTGGACAGAGAAGGCATACAGGGACATCACTACATCAGGGAGGAGCTCAGCGGCTTCTTCCGGAGTTGCCTCACCACCACGAATCGCCAGGACCGGCTGATGGCCGCGGGGATCCCGGGGAATTTTGTAGGATTCAACTTTGTTTTTTTTGTAGGACTCAACCTCTTCATTTGCTTGGATCCGGACTTGAATTGATGGCTGGGCTGGCGTGGCCTGAGTTGCAAGGAAAAGCTGTTTGGTCCAATTAGAGGTGTTTCGGTGGAAACTAATACGGGAAAGAGATGGAGAGGCAAATGATGACGCGGAACGTCGTGGTGCAAGATAAAACTTGTAGTGGGGTTTTGTTTTATAGGAGATATAAGATCACAGATATGAAATGTTACTAAAATTAGGGCCCCTTTGGATTGGAGGGTTGGGAAAGTAATTTTAGGATTCAACTTACTTGGATTTTTTTTCTACGCTTCACTTTGGTTCACAGGAAAGGCAAGGAAATATTGCATAGGACTGCATTTCTATAGCTCAATCTATCTTCTACTCTTCTACACCTAAAAAGAGAGGGGGAGGGGGTCGTCCATAGATTTCTTAAGCCTTAGGCTCCTTTGGTAGAGATAATGATAGCTCTGGCTCCCACTCTGATTTCCTCTCTTTTTCCTCTTCATTTCACAGAGCTGATAGTGAAGCTAAAAATTTTGGCTCAAGCAGCTCCTTGGGCGTCACTGAGAGAGAAGGAGATGAGAGAGAAAAACGGATTTTGTCTGCCAGAGAATCTACCTTGGGAATCCATACAAAGGGGCAGTGGGATCGGTCTAAAAAAAACAACGGCCGCATCTCTCGCTGGCCGGGCGAAGTGGAGGCCATGCACGCGCTGAACTGTCGCATCCGGCCCTCTGCTGTTACTCTTCTCATCGTCAAGCACTGCGCGCCGGTGATATGGTTCGTTCTCATCTGCGGATGGATCACAGGTGAATCAGGCAGCATCCATGCTCTTCCGCTCATCGCTCTGGCTTGCCGTGGCTGGCTGGCTGCCGTGCGCCGTCGCACCAGCCGTCCTCGCCCGAACCATACCGCAACGCTGCCGACCTTTGGATGGTTGTCGGCTTCCCCGTCTCGCACTGCCGCCGAGGCGCCGAGACGCCTCTCTCTCTCTCTCTCTCTCTCGGTCGTTAGCAATCCGTCAGCCCGCCCCCTTCAAGGCCAAATCACACTGCTCGCCGTCATACCAATGGGCTTAGCCCGCTTAGAACCGACCCAACAGAGTGAACTACGAAACCCATCACGAACCCGTGCAGTCAGGATGGATAGGCATGCGAAGTCGAGGACCATGATGCCTGCTACTTTTTTGCATATCTGCATGCAAATCAATCTGTTATAGACCACACAGCGCATCAACCCTCGGTTGTTCCTCCAACTGCGAGACCCGGAAATCAACTCAGCGCATCAAGCTACCGCCGATCTTTGCCCTACATACATCCAATTTTTCAGTTTCAATTTTCCACCCTCATATTTTTATAGAAACTTTTGTATGATCTTTAATTTGCCCTATGATTTTAATTTTTAATTTTCAAGTTAAACTCTTTCAATTCAACTTGCAGCTGGATTCACAAGCTGCCACCCACCACCTTTAATTAATTCAAAAAAGGGTCGTATACGTGCTTGCTCAGCTGTTAGCGACCATTCAACATGATCGCCATGCATGCAAGTACTGCTTGAGTGCTTAAAAAAACATGTGTAAGACTGTCTCC